AAAAAAAAAAAAAAAAAAAAAAATCCAAGCGGATGAGGACAGGGAAAAAGGCACAGAAGGATACACGCGTAGCAGTTATCTTCACCAAATCTACTCAGCTATTTCCGCATCTGCTCAGCTATTTCCGCAATTTGGAATGTTTGTAGTGAACAAACTGAGGACCATATTTCCCATTTTCAACCTGCCGAAAAGGAACAAGAGGAGTGGGCCTGATACCATCTTTCGACTACTCTTGGAGAAAGATAAAGCTACTTGATCCAAAGAGATAATTGGTAAAGAATTTTTAGATAATTTTTAAAGTTAAATGAAAAAGAATTTAACTATTACTTTATAACTTATTTATTAAACATAGTAAAAATCTAAATTAATCTATTTTCTAACTTTTATTGGTAAAAAAGAGAGGTTATCGCGGAGTAGAGTTAGGACAAACGTTCCGTGAGTAAGGGACACCTCTAATGTCATGCTCAAGCAACGGAATGACACCGGACGGTGGAGCTAAAAGATGATGAAGACCGAGAGAACTTGAGGCTGCCTGAGACGCCAAATAATCCGCTGCAAAATTCGCCTCGCGAAAAATATGCGAAATCTTAACATGTCAATCCCGACTAAGTAGTTCTCTTATACCGACAATCAAGCCTGAATGAACACCAGTTATATCTTCTGTGTTATTTGCAAAACCCACGACGTTGGCATTGTCGACTTCCTCTGCAACCTGACAATATCTCATATCTCAAGCCATACGGAGACCATGAAATAACCCCCATAGCTCGGCTTCGGTGATAGAGCACAACCCAATATTCATCGTGAAACCACCGAGCCATCTACCATGAGTGTCTCGAATCAACCTACCAGCAGAAGCCATTCCCCACGATTTGTTATGAGCCCCGTCAGAATTCATTTTAACCCAAGACGTCGGTGGCGCCTCCCAATGGATATGATGTGGTACTCTAGAAGCACCAGTGCCGCCAAGTTTCAGATCACCTTGTGCAAAATGCGGGACACCCGAAACAAAGTTTTTGATCTCATTTACTTTACCATTGACCTCCATCCCCCGACTTTGCCAACCATTTTCCCAATGGACTTAAAAAAATTTTGATGGTAGAAATGCACCGGTAACGCCGGCAGGCGTACCCACGCCACCACCTTTTGAACTCGTAAGTCTTCCGACCGAAAGTCCAGAGTCCAAGGTTGCACATGAAGGTAGTGATAAAAAAATCACCCAAGGGGCCGCTCGTTAAAGCTCGCATTTGATCTGCAGGATTATTGAACCGAATAACATAGTATTCATTCTCCAAATCCATGATTGGGCTACCTTTTATAGCAGGCCACAAAGTTGACAGTCAATTATATAATGTCAAAGGTACAACAGTTCGTCCTAAAAGTCGCACTACGACTGCATGCTTCCAGTCTTGTAAGAGGAATTATGAAAATGGATCAGAAAAAAGGATGCGAGCGAGGCCTCCATTTAGTTCCACCCTGATGTCCTGACCGTTAGCTTCGATGTCCTCTTCTTCAAAATGAATTTCAACGTGGGGGCGGTTTTTGTTCCACATATCATGAAAGCTCTGTTTTGGAGCCTCCGTAGGCGACGGATTCCATTGAGTCGCTGGGGGGTCTTATCGACTGCTTCTCAAGATGTCCCTCGGAGCGGAACTTTTTGGAAAAGCATTCGGATAAATTCCTGGAAGGATTTGCCTCATTGAGCGAGGGGAATCCTGGTAGATTGGGGTCCGGTGGCTTAACTCGAGGGTGCTCCGGCGGTTCTTCCATGTTGTCAGCCATGAGCAATTGTAGAAGAAAGCTCCACCCACGGTAGCCGCAGAGGTGGTGCAGAGATGGTGGAACCTTAGTCTACCTTTCTTTTTAGTCTAAAGTAATTAATCCTTAATCTTAATAATGGTTCTTTAATATATAAAAGATTGTAATATATCCTAGTTGCGGTCACCATTAACATAGAGAAGTTTGTAATATATCCTAGTTGCGGTCACCATTAACATATAGAAGTTTGTAATATATTCTAGTTGTGGTCACCAGATCCAGTCCAAGATTTCACCACCTTACCATCTTTTTTTGTTTTTGTTTTTTGTTATTCTATTTGTTCATTTTCACTACTAAATTGCCACTCTACACAAAAGCCTCTTCTCTCTCGCGACAAAATCCCGACAACCCTAGCGCCTCTCTTATATTTCACGTCGTCTTCCTCGGTGGCGGTGCGGCACCGGCCGGTGGTCGCTTCCGCCTGCCGTCCTTCCTCTATTATTTCGGACCCCTGGTATTGTCGTGTGGTGCTCGCGACTGTTGGTCTGCCCAACTCTAGTTCACCGAAGTGGCAGCGATTGGCTGAGGCGAGCTCTTTGGTCGTTAATCGGATTTCTTTTGACGCTGCCTGGTCTCGATTGGAGGTGAGTTTCCCTTCGATTTATGCCTCTGTTCTTGTCTCTGTTTCTGTGTGTGTATGGAGGGCATCGGGCGGTTTCTTTTTTTCCGACGAAGCTTCGTTCAGGATTTTCTCGTTCGAGTGCCGGCGTCGATGGTCTGGGGTGATGCTGGTAGGTTTGCGGGTAGTGAGGCGGGATGGGGCTCTGATGGGTGTCAGGGTTGAGGGCTCGTATTCCCCCCTCCGTTTCGACTAGTGGTGTTAGACGAATGGGTCCTAGTGTTCCTTAGCTCGGCTAGTGGTGTTAGGCGAGTTCGGGCAATGCTAGAATGGGTGCGGTTTCGATGTTCCTCCGGTTGAAGCGGGTTGTTTCGGAGTTTGGTTGAGGTTCAGGTTCGACTTCTTGTATAGGCCTTGTGGCAGTTTCGGGAGCCATCCATTGGACTTGGATTAATATTTGAAATCGACTGTTCTCCGCTGAATCGGGCCGACTGATTTGCCGTGGAAGGGCTTGTCTGTTTTGGTGTCTGTGTTTTATTTTCTTTTGTTTTGTCGTCTTGGTGGTGTTGTTTAGGTTCTTGTGTTTTTGGTTTGGATCAGTTGATCTTTGTACGCATGAGTGGGAGCAACCTTGATCCTTCTGTGGGGAGCAGCTTCTGTCTCAATTCTCCTGTGGGGAGCTTTGTAGTTTTTAGTTGTGTTTTGTTGTAGTAGTTGTCCTGTGAGTCCTGTTTTTGGTTTCTAGCGTTGCTAGAGCCGAGTTTCTAGGCGGTCGTCTGACCTGTCCTCCCAGTTTTCAGTTTTAGGTTGTTTTTCATTCTCCCGTTGGGAGCTTTGTATCTTTTTTCGCACTTTGTGCGCTTGGTTATAATAGTTCCTCTATCGTTCCGGCTAACCAAAAAAAAAAAAAAAACAGTTGTATTTTTTTATTTGCAAAAAAAAGTATTATATGTATATATATGTATAATTATAAATCGGGTAAAAAAAAACGTATTCAATTCAAATAAAAGATTATAGATAGTAAAATCGGTCAAAAACACTATTTTTTGTTACATACATGCAAATATAAAATTTGATATTTTAGTAATTTTGGGAAGTACGTGATCTTTTTTGTCAATTTGGTTTTTTTATTTACAAGTAATCGGCTCCCCTTAAATCTCAACAAAGTTCAACGTAATTATAGTTCATGCTTTAAACAATAATCTCGACATATACATATCAATCTTTAAAAATCATCTCAAGTCACTATTTGTAATATATACTACCGATTCAAATTAAAAAAAAAAACAAAAAATCTACTATATTTAATTAAGAGATACAATATCAATTAAAAAAGACAATAAAAAAAGAGGACGAACATCTTTGATATCCTAACATATTTTTTTTATACTAATCGACTATCAGAGTTGTTTCTTTCAAAATAAATAATATTAACCTAGCGATTGATTTACTACCAAAATTATTATATCTCAACAGATTTTTTTTATACTACAATTGTTAAACGTAAATGTAGCCCATGATTTAAATATTATTCTTGAAATATACAAATCAAACTTATAAATCATTTCAACAACTAATTGTGATATATACTACCGACTAAATTTAAAAAAAAATTTGCTATATTTTTTTAAGAGATATCATATCAAATGCATAAATATATTTTAAAAAAAAAAAGACTAAAGATACAATTTCAAATGCAAAACAGAAAAAAAAAAAAAAAAGATATTTGCCGAAAGTGGAAGAGCTCGAAAGTGGAAGAATTCGATATTTGCAGCTTCTTGATGTTATCGGTGTTGACCGATCACTTTAACCTTAGTTCAGATCGAAAGTGGAAGAGCTCGATATTTGCAGCTAGGTCAATTTTGTGTTGGTTTAGAAAACATATTAATTGTACATTTACTTAATGAATATTTAATCCCTCGTTTATTTTTTCATGTGTCGCATTATTATTGATCGTGACCAAATCGGGTATCAACACGTCGACAGTAATTGGCACCCTAACAATTTGTGCCACCCTTAGCACACAGGAACAAGGAAGTCCATGAGTATATCTCAGTACACATCCGCAGAGCGAGTCAACCTCATCGCTCAATTGTAGCATCTGCTCAAACTCAATAATCAATAAATTCATACAGTTGTTGTAAATATTTTTACCGGAGTAGAATCGAAAGATTCGACACTGGGTCGTTTCTCTCGAGGAAGGTCAGCCGGAATATTAAGCACGTTTATTCACACACGAATAACAGAAATTAAAGAGGTAAATAAGGTTTTGTTGGTTTTTATTATCTACTACTGCAAATAAATTAAATTAAGCAAGTAAATAGCAGACGATCACATAGAACAAATAAGGTTTAAAAAGCTAGGGAGTCGGGAATTCCCGCTTTGGTTCGACATGCAACTAACGGGAAAGTAATCGTTTAGCTAAGAAATTCGAATAATCTACCTGATCAAGCATTCATTCTCAATAACTATTCGTAACAAGAGAATAAACTAGAAAGGCAAATTAACGAGTCAATTAATTCCTAGGCAATACAGTTTTGAATAAGCCTAGTTCATGCGAATCTATTTCGACCAACTCTTCCCCTTTCGGTTCTAAGAGCCGATTAAATAATCCTAGAAGATGGTTAATCAACTAGTCGATATAGAGTTAACAATATCACGTGAGAACGAATCAAATCCAATCAAACAATTGCAAATTGAAGTGTCACCCTTCAATAATTCTCAACATTCAAGCATAAATCGAAAACCCTAATTAAGCATGAATCGCATAAACTGAACAATCTTGAGCTTGACAATCACAAACAAATTCAAAGCATCGATCCCCTAATCCGTAGCATAAAGATTTAGCTACTCATGCTCGAATTACCAACAATAATGATCATCTCAATCGAAGAACCCATGCTTAACAAATAAATTATGAGAAAATCTTACGATTGATAAACCACGGAATCGAAGTCGATAAACAAGCTTGAATCCCAAAGCAATAATGTAATTCGACCTTAAATCTTTGCTCTATGATGAAAATTATTGAAGAAAAGTAAAAGAAACGAATGAAAGAGATGAAGGTAGGGTTTCGTGTTTTTGTCGTGCGTAAAAAACAATAATCTGATATTTTCTCGAGCTCGTATTTATAGCAGCATCGGGCGCGATGTGGAGAAAATTCACGGACGCGGAAAGACAATCCTTCACGGCGTGGAGCGGCAGCGCGGCGCGGCAAATTGTCTCTTCACGGCGCGGCGGTCTTCACTCTCGCAGCGTGGAAGGGAGGTCGCAGTGCGACAGGCTTAGAGAGCAGCAGTTCTTCGCGATGTGGCGCATCAGCGCGGGCGTGGTAGATGTTCTTCTCGCGGCGCGGTAGTGGCACGAGCATGGACGACAACACCGCCACAGCTGCACGGCGCGGCACGAGGATCATCATCTTCTGTTGGTGTCGTAGCGTGCTCTCGGCGCGGGGCTTGGAGAAATGGCAGCGTGCGCCGCAGCGCGACGGCTGCCGCAGCGCGGGGCACATTTTTTTACCTTCTGTCCGTGTCGTGGCGTGCTCTCGGCGCGACGCCTGGTGGTCTCGTGGGTCTAAGTCGCATGGCTAAATGTTTTGGGCTCGCATACGCTTGTTTGGCCTCGGAATTTGAATCCGTTTTCTACTGTGAACTCGTAACGAATTGCTCTCTTTATCCATACTTGCTCGGTCCATTTTGTCCCGGAAAACAAATCCTTTCGAATCCTATAACCTCAATACCAGAAACTACACACAACCGGAAAGCGACCGAGAAAATACCAGAAAGTCATAATAAAGCAAAACACAAAATAAACCATAAAATAGACTAGAACTCGACTAAACGAATCCAAATGGAGAAAAAGAAAGACAAAAAGATAACGAAAAACGCAACAAAAATGGGACAAACAACTCCCCCACACTAAAAA